AAAGAGGCCTGTTTCCGCCTTCTGGAGGACCTCAGGAGTCCAGGGGATGCCATTTTCTCCCTCCCAGAGGCCCGCGGGAAGCCTCCGGACTCTGGGGAAGGCGAAAAACGGCCCTCCTGGAAGTTTTCAGGTAGGCCATGCCCACCCAGCCACCAGGTAGAGAACCAGTTGTTGGGATCTTTGAATCCCACCCTGGCCTGTAAACCTCTGTGGAGGAGTGGGCTGGGATTGAACCTCCTCCGTCTCAGGAAGCCCCCCGGCGATGGCTTCCCGACAGACCCGAGATGGGACAATTTGATCGAGGGAAACCTGCAGAGTTCAGGGCAAACTGGGGACAAGAGACGAAGTAGAATGACAGAGTTGGGAGGGACCTCGGAGGTCTTCTAGTCCAGCCCCCTGCTCGAGCAGAAGACACACAATCATAGAATAACAGAGTTGGAGGGGACCTTGGAGGTCATTTAGTCCAACCCACTGATCGAATAGCAGGCCCTTACAGAATCACAGAATAAGAGGGTCGGAAGAGACCTCCCGGGACTTCTAGTCCAACCCTCTGCTAAGGTGGGACTAGAACTCCCCGTCTCCTGGTGACTGGCCCAAAGTTGGTTTTTATGCCTAAGGTGGAACTAGAACTCACTTTTACTTGCTGATTGGCGCAAAGTCACCCAGCTGGCGTTCATGCATAAGGCAGGACTAGAACTCCCCGTCTCCCAGTTTCTAGCTGGGTGCCTTAAACACTCCGCCAAAAACTCTGTGTCTCTTGTCTTTTCCTCCCCAGCTCTTCCAAGGCAACTCCGACGACTCGACCCCCGTGGCCCGGACCTTCCAGCGCATGGTGCATGCCCGACACGTGCGCCTCCTGCCCCACGACTTCCACAATGGCATCTTCCTGCGCCTGGAGTTGTTGGGTTGTGGGAAAGGTGGGTTTCTGGGTGGGCTAAGGAGGAAGGAAAGGGTGCTGACAGGACACAAATGGTAGACTCCACAGACCAGTATTGGAAGGGGACCTTACAGCTGGTTCACACAACACAGGAAGGGAACAAAATCCATTGGGAGCTTGTGGAGGCTGGCAGCAGGGAGGAAGAGCCGCCCGAGGAGCCCATGCCCAGCACGCGTACATGCAGGGCTGCTCAAAGAAAAGAGCAGCTGCAGCAGCACGGGCGACTCGGGAGTAAGGCTGCAAGGTTATGGCCCCTTGTGGACGTTCGGAATAACTTGATTGGTGTTTGGAGACTCTTTGTGTAGGAAGTACATCTTAGTAGCTTTATCTAATGTTCTTGGCAGCTCTGCACCACCTTGGCAAGTTTGTTTGTTTGAGCATTTTGAAATTAATGTGCCCTAGACGTCTATGCAGTAAATGTATACATTCATCATGTGGCTTAACATTGTTATAAACCGAGTTAGACATCTTCAACTGGTCATCATGTATCACATATAAATCATTCTCTAAAGTAGCAGTAACACTTTTACCCTCTTTCTCTATTATACAATTATCTCCCCTAAAGGTTACTACATAACCAAGATTAACTAAAGCCCTTACTTATAGCAAATTAAATTTTAGTTTAGGTACATAATATTATATATTATATAACATAGTTAAATATTCATTTATACAAGAAAAATATGCAGTACTTTTACCAGATGCTTTCATCTTCCATCCATTTGCCAATGATACATGTTTTTTACTCATGGACATCTTTACAAACCTTTCCCTATCTTTTGTAATGCATTGTGATGCTCCACTATCAACAACCTACAAATCATGGTTTACAGTTGAATTGCTAGACATAGCTAAACTAACATTCTTTTTGGCTTTCAGGTGTTTGCCAGTATTCTGTTGTTTTCCCTTCTTACAGAATCTAGCTATATGTCCCCTAGCCCCACAAGAAAAACATTTCCTAACAGTATAGGCACTTGAAGACAAATTCTCTTCTTGTGGTTGTTCCTTCTTCAATTGGTCCCTATCCAGCTGTCTTGCTTCTTCTAACAACCTTCCAGTTATGTCAGTTAATGTCAGTTTATCTCTGGGCAGGACTTCCAGTGAAGATATGTAATCATCATAACTTTCATCCAATGAGGAAAGAATGATGTAAACTTGATGCACCTCTGAAAATATCAGTTCCTGTTCATGTAGCTCTTGAAAAGTTCTTTTAATGAAGTTTAAATGAGCTAACGTATCTCCACCTTTCAGAAGACGTGCTCTAAACAGTTTACGTGTAAGATGTATGTGTGCACCTACATTGTCACGAACATAAATCCTCTTCAAATTCTCCCAACACTTAGCAGCAGACTCTTCTCCATGAATATGGACTAGCTGCTGGTCACTCAGTGTTATCCAATTCGTTGTTCTGTTTAAAGTCAGCAATCTTCTTGGCATAGTCCTCATTTTCTGGATCCCAAGCATTTGCATCCGGTGGGTCTCAAACTACATTCCATAAACCTTCTCTATGCAGAAGTAGACTGCACTTCATAGACCAGGAAACCTAGTTTGCTCCATCCAACCGGGTTATCAATGATAGACTTGTTGAAGTGTCTTGTGCCATCTTTACTAGGATAGTAACCCACAATTAATCAGTAAACAGCTGTCTGTATACAGTACTGTGTATTCACACCAACTCTCAGTTATCTGAGCCTGGGCCCATAACCAGGGTTGAGGTAATTCCTGTTAGGAGAATGAGCGCATACAGGGAGACGTAGTGACAGTAGGGAAGAATAACACACAGACAACACACAGATACACTGTACAGTAAATGTAGGTTTTTTACTTCCAATAAACGTTCAAGCACAGTCCAAGATAAGCAGTCCAAGTCATTCACAGGTAAAGCAATCAGTGTTCAGTCCAGGGATAATCCAAATATCGAAGTCCAGTATCAAAAAACAGTTCAATAACAGACTTACATCAACGATCAGTAACAGTCATTTAAGAGGAACGGCAACTCTCTCCAACAGAAGGAAACAGAGACTCACTGAGACACTGAGACAACCCAGGTTTCTGGCTCCATCTTATGGCCATTTGAGAAAACACACCCAATTACAGTTTTGCATTTTCTTAAAGAGACAGTTTTAAAATGTCTATCCTGGTTTATATATTTCCAACCCAAATAACTGTTAGTTGACTTATATTCCTAACACCCGTGGTTGTTCAGTTAGTCCCCAGCTTGTGAAGCAAATCCGGCTTCCCAGTGGTTGGAAAAGAGGGTTTTACAATTGTCGTATATTTGAGTCGGTCACCAAACCTCTGAATTTGGATCTCCAGGGTCTGAAGTTGCTTTTTTCTTGTTGTTGTTCTGACATCCGACAGTTGCTAAGTGAAACATAATAAGTCGAGGCCTGCCTGCACCAGACGGAGGTTTGCCCTTCCCAGTGGGCTTGAGTCTCTCCATTGCTCTCTCTTGTCTTATCTCAGTGTCCCCAGAGCAGCCAGAGGGGCCCACGTCCCCCCCAGGATGGAAGCCTTGCTGGGCCGGCGAGTTCGAATGCCGGAACGGACGTTGTGTGCCAACTGGGGTTCATGGAGCCATCTGCAATGGAGTGGATGACTGCGGGGACTTCTCGGACGAGCTGCGCTGCGGTGAGCGGACGCTGGGGAGATGCAGCATGACAAGAGAAAGAATGGAATGGAATAGAATAGAAAGAAAGGGATAGAATGGAAAGAGTGGAATGAAATAGAATCGAATGGAATGGAAAGAATGGAAAGGAAAGAATGGAATGGAATAGAATAGAATAGAAAGAATCGAATGGAATGGAAAGAAAGGAATGGAATAGAAAGAATGGAACAGAATGGAAAGAAAAGAATGGAATGGAATGGAATGGAATAGAATAGAAAGAGTGGAATGGAATGGAATAGAAAGAATCGAATGGAATGGAAAGAAAGGAATGGAATAGAATAGAATAGAAAGAAAGGGATGGAATGGAAAGAATGGAATGGAATAGCAAGAGTGGAACAGAATGGGACTCTTCTGTTCTGTTCTGCTCCCTCCATTGCAGGTGTGGCCCCCTCCCTGGAGCCCCCCACCCCAGAGGGCTGCCCAGCTCCCTATTTCCCCTGCACCTTTGCCGGCCTCTGCCTCGAAGCCAGCCAGAGGTGCGACGGAGTGGCTCACTGCCCGGACGGCACTGACGAGATCGGCTGCCTGGCAGTGAGCAGCATGCCCCCACCTGGCAGCCTCAGGTAAGAACAGAATGGAGTTGACAGGCCATTTGATGCCATGGAGAAGTCTAGAGTTGAGGGCTGGCATCAAGGGAATGTTGGCGGGTGGGTCCAACAATACAGGATCGGAAAGGTACGATGGGGAGGAAATTGGGTGTCACTGGAAACAGGGTGGGAGATACCCCAGCCAGCCACTTCTAGGCTGCCTGTCGGGATTCCGGCATTAAATCATGAGTCTCGAGCCAAACTTCAAAAACTTTATTAGGAGCGAACATGTCGTCATGACCTATGTGAAGCCGATTCCGAGACACGTAATTCACTGTCACCTATGACCCTGGTTTTCTGGGTGCATCTTAATTAATATTCTCCATGAAACACCATTCATAGCTGAGCGTCATCAATCACCTTCTCCAATTAAGGATTTTCATGGCAGAAATTTCAGTCGCTTAGTGTGATGACCCAGGGTGGGATACAAAGCAAACACAGAAAACCGGTGAAGCCCCTTTTATACCTTCACTTTGCTTCCAAGCTCCGAAGATTCTTGATGGAAGACAAAAAAACTCCCACACAAACAGTTACAAGAAGGAAGAAAAAAAAACACAAACCAGGCAAGATAAGGGCCGGAGGACATCCACAGATAACAGAACACACACTGGGAAGGACGCCAAACTCAGAGAGGAACCATAAACTAGAGATATTTACATGCTTTGTTTCCAGCGCTCTCCTGTACGCATGTCTGTCCTCTTATTCAGTTGTCACAGCTGCAGCCCATGAAGAGGATCAAGGCCCTCTCCTCCCGAGTAGACCACTGTCTCTCCCTTATCCTCTCCTCCCTGCGTGCCCTAGGATGGAGAGGGGATGGGCCTGGGTCCTCCTCTGACTGCCCAGCCGGCCTCTGCCCTTCCCCAGCCTCCTCCACAACCTCCGGATAACCACACTCCCACTCCCTGTTGGCTGTTCCTCCTCTCCCTCAGAGTCCGTCTCCACCAGGGGCATGACACTTAGTTACAATCTTTGCAAGATAAAGTATGGAATGTATTCTTGGTTTCTAAACTGCTGCACTGCTCCTCCCCCATTCATGACAACTCTAAAAGAGGCATAGAAATGTTTTATGAGTTGACATCTATGGGTCCGTCTTCTGGTGGATCTTCACAAGGTCTACTAACCAAACTTCTTCTGGTCTTCCTTCCAGCCCGTGGACTTCAGAAAAGCCTGGTCAGGTCTCTGAGGCCCCATCCACTGTGGTAAGGAGAAACACACACACACACACACACACACACACACACACCGCTGCCAGGGTGCCTATGGGACAGGAAGGACAACCAAAGCCAAGTTTTGGGGTCACCAGGCTATGAAAGGGAGGAACTTGAGGGAACAAGCAGCAAGGGGTTGAGATTAGGGCAGAGAAGTCTATTCCTGAACTAGAATTCCAAAATCCCTTTGCAGCAGCCCCCCCCCCGCCCCCCCCCCAAATCTAATGCAATCCTCGGCCGCGGAAACAGAGGCGTAGAATCAAAATCACGTGAAGTCTTAAGGGCCGCTTTGTAAAGCCTTAGTAAGGCCACACCTGGAATCCTGAATCAAGTTTTGGTCATCACGTTGTCAGGATTCTGGCAGTTACCCCGCCTTTAAATCCTGAGTCTCAATCCAAAACTCCCAAAACTTCAAAAGGATTTATTGGGAGTTAATATGTCTGGTGCGGGTGCTGCCTGGGTGGAGCTGACTCTGAGACACATAATTCATTGTCACCCTTGACTCTGGTTTTTCCACATCGGGATGTGTCATAAATCATATTCTCCAATGGGACACCTCCATAGCCCAGAGTCATCAATCATGCTCTCCAGTTAGAATTTTGCACGGCAGAAACTTCGGTCACCTAGTTGCTATCTTTGAAAACATTTACAGGATGCAGTTTCAGTTTTGCAAGCTGCCGCGCTGCTCCCCTCTCCCTTTCTGTTGGCCACTCTGAAAAGACCATAGTTGACATTATGAGTTATGAGTTGACATTCGGCTCCCCTCAGTTCTTCCAAAAGAGATATTGAAACTTTGGGGAAAAGTGCAAAAAAAAAAAAAAAAAGAGCCATAAAGACAATGGTGGGATTCAGCCGGTTTACACCGGTTCAACGGAACTGGTAGCTATTTTTTGGGTGGAGTCAGTACCTCACCATGCCTGGCCCTCCTGATCCTGCCCCTCCTCTCCCAGCCAGCAAACAGCCAGGAGGTGAGGTGAGCAGCCAGGTAAGCAGCTGGGGAGGCTGGGAGGCCAGGCTAGGAGAGCCTCCCCCTTGACATGAGTGACATCAAGTTGGCCAGGCCCACCCAGTTACACGCCCACCCAGCCATGGCTACCCAGCCGGTCATTAGGGCAGAGAACCAGTTGTTAAATTATTTGAATCCCACTGCTGCACTGAGATGTTTGGGAGTGGGGTGGTGGTGGAAGCTAAAACGTGTGAATTGGTGGGATTCGGTGGTGGCCCTTGAGAACCAACATGGCCGCCTGGCTTCTTCCTGTGCTTTTTTTTTCAACAACTGGGCTTTCTCCTTTTCTTTGAAAACATTTCGCTTCTCCTCTGAGAAGGGCGGTGGGGAAGGGAAAGATGGTTACTCCTTGTGGACAGGTGGTCATTTGCCTTCTTTTCAGAGCGCCATTGAGGCCGCTAAGAGGTTTCTCTGTGTTGGTCTGAGCCCCCAGGGTCACCTGAGCAGTGCAAATTGGGCGGACTGCCATTCGAAGAAGGCTCCACCCCACTGACACCACCCAGGGGACCCCGAGGCCAAACCTCCAAGGGGCCTCAACAACCCTCTAAAGGAATGCAAATGACCAGCTGTCTATAAGGAGGATCAATCCTTCCATTCTGTCTGTCCTGCCTCCCTCCCTCCACCTTTCTCCCATGTCTTCCCAGGTGTGAGTGCGTATCCAGAGCACCAGTTGCATCTCCTCTTTCCCCTCCCTTGCAGGTGTCCCCAGGTGGACGTCCCTTGCCCGAGGACCACAGCCCCACTCCGCCAGGTAAGGGGAGATAGAGAGAGATCTGTTTTTGGCAAGAAACTATTTTATCTAGATGAAAGAGAGATACAAAGAAGAAATATGAAAAAGAAGGGAAGGAGAGAGGGAGAGAAGGAGGAAGGAAGGGTGGAAGGAAGGGAAGGAAAAACGGAAGGGAAGGGGGGAGGGAGAGAAGGAGGAAGGAAGGAAGGAAGGAAGGAAGGAAGGAAGGAAGGAAGGAAGGAAGGAAGGAAGGAAGGAAGGAAGGAAGGGGAAAGTGGAAAAGAGGGAGGGGAGGGGGAGGGAGGAGATGGGAATAGGAGGGAGGGAGGGAAAGAATGAAAGGAATGAGATGGGGAAGGAAGGAAGGAAATGGGAATAGGAGGGATGGAAGGGAAGAAGGAAGGAGATGGGAAGGAAGGAGATTAGAATAAGAGAGAGGGTGGAAAGGCTGGAAAAGATTCAAGGGAAGGAAGGATTTGGGAAGGAAGGAAAAGAAAGAAAGTAAGGGAAGATAGTGAAAGAAACTACATCCAGAACTTTCACAACACACACACACACACACACACACACACACACACACACACGCACACACCCTTTCAACCCTTTACCAGCCAATCCCCACTCCTCCTTTCAGCCTTAACTTCACCCTTGCTGAACCTCTGGGACCACCCTAACCCCAACTCTGAGTATCCTCGGAGGATACTCAGGCCCTTTGCGACTCCGCCGAGGAGTTTTGTGCTGAGGACACCCCACCCTCTGCTCCTGGGCTGTTTCAGGAATGCCCTTAACGTTGTGCCCTCTTGCAACCCTTCCCTTCAGGTTCTTGCAACGAGCCCCTCGGCCTGGAAGATGGACGTGTCCCCTACCAGCAGTTGACGGCCTCCTCCCACCAGGAGGGACGTCCCCCGGATGCCGGACGGCTGAACCGGGTGCCCAGTGGGTAAGTGGTGCAAGACTGGAGCTACTCCAAGCAGGAGAATTCAAGTGGTGCCCCAACTAGAGA